TTTTCTTTTGTTCACATGTGTAGATTAGCTGAGGTTGATGGGACCAGTTAGATGTAGCAATGACAAAATGTGTGAACATGGTGATGATTTGACTCTCTTACGTTTTTGCAGGGATTGTGGATATCTGCTATTTTGCAGTTTGTGCAGACAGTCCCAGGAGGGGCTATTCTCATTGCTCTCGTTGCTCTGGCAGTTTATCACCTGTCTGTATTACTGTAAATAAATGAGAAGACTATAATTTAACAATAAAAAAAGACTGTTGCATTGTTTGAGTTGTAGTGTTCATGCTTTTTAAGAACATGAGGTTTTGATGTTCTTATGTTAATTCTGAAAATTTCAGGACTAGATATGAAAATATGAAGTCAACAAAAAAGTGAAACCCACATTTCCAACTATGCTGCTTATTACATCTTCCATTGAGAATGCTGCCCTCTGGTGGACATAATTTTTAAATGTAAAAAAAAAATTTAATAATAAAACTTTTTGAGTTTTTCACTTCTTATTCTGTCCCTTCACGTTGTTCCCTTGTAACAACCTTTTGTCTACCAATCTGCATCCGTTTGTTCCTCACTCTCTGATCCACTCCTTGTTTGCTTCCTTGTTCGCACATCAGAGGGCCATGCGCGTCAGGAGCCACTCCATGGAGACCGTGGTGGGTTCTCATCGTCACCGGAGCCCCGGGGTGGCAGGTGGGGTCCCTGCCAGCCTCAGTGGTGGGGGATTGCCACAAAGCACCAGTGAATGCACAAAGAGCACCTTCACTGTAAGGGATCTAATAATAAAGAGTGGGAGAGAAAAGAACGAGATCTGTTACCGTGTTACCTTCCTTGTGAAAACCTGCAGAAATGTGATTGCCAGACTGTGATTGTGTTAGTTTCCATGTAATAATTCATTAGATATTAGTTCTGTTATTGGACCATTTACAGTCAGTTAGCTTGATCAATTCAGGCCTTTACAGCATTTCTATTTAGAGTGGTGGTGAAGCTTTCTTTTTTTTTAAGTAAGGTTTTTAATTTATCATCTGTGATCTCCAGCCTCCTGTTCTGTCAGCCAAATCTCCTTTAAAGAGCCCAGTGAAACGGCGCTCAGGCCTCTTCCCACGACTCCACTCGAGCACAGACGCTCCATCAGACAAACACACACGCAGGTCAGTTTTCTACATCTTTAATCTATCCATTTCCTGTTTTATTTTATCCTTTTCTGTTTTGCCAGTGAAAAATCTTAAAATTGTTGTATTGGGGTTGTATACAAATGCAGGTCTGTTTTTGAAATTGTGTTTAATTGCATTCCAATAAAATGTTTCACTTTTGCCTTCTCCTTCCCAATTATACACAATTTCTGCTGAGCGACTGCATAAATTAAAAAAAAAAAAAAAAAAACAAGAAACATAAGCATTCATACATTTTTTGGTGGCATTTTGACAAACTGTGGAAATGTTCAAGCTGTCTGATCGTGGTTTGTCAGCAGTGATCATAAACCAGCAGAGATCTGCCTGCATTCCCAAGAATTGAGATCAGAGACGTCATCCAATCCCAGCTCACCTGAGATCTGCCCCAACAAAGAAAGGTCACTTGGAAACTGAAACTTAGCTTAAAACTTAAATATATAAAAATACAATTGTGTTCTAGGGTTAACTATGACAAATTTCAAGAGTGTTATCTTAACCACATGCTTGGTCCTCTGTGGCTCTTCCATCAACAGGCCTTTCATGAAGCACAAGGAGTGCAGCAGCGGCAGCAGCTGCAGGCCCAACATCTCTCGCTCTTCGTCTAGCACCAGCAGCTTCAGCAGCACCACGGGGGAAACAGAAGCTCTGGAGGAGCTGGACACAGTGGGTAGAACATTTGTTTCATCCAGGGTTGATGTGGAATTAATATGAAAAAGAATTTGAAAATTTTTGAATTGAAAAATGCACATTTGTAACAAATGCGTATTCTCACCTTTTCACCTAAGAGAGGTGAAAAAGCTTTTAAAGATGGACAAAAATCCATATTTGCTCAGAAGTGCATAATAGTGGGAATTAAATGTCAACTTATAATTAGAATTCATGCAAATCTTCTCATCTTCCTCAAATGACACCTCTTGTCATTGTTGCAGTAATTTTATGCGAGACATGCTGCTTAAAAATGGCACCTTGTGAGGTTATGAATTGTCAGAGTAAGTTAAGGCACCAAGTATTACAAATTGCGTTGAAGGAGGTGCAGATCAAAGCTTTTTAATGAACAGGACAAATTTCTTTTGCTACATTTGGTTAGAACATCAAGATATTTATCTTGTCTGGATCATATTTAAAAGATTTCATCAGCACTTTAGCAATAATGAATCTAGCTTTTTTGTTTTAAAAAAAAGGGTTGCTTATGTGTAATGATACATATGTTGAAGACTCACTTTTGACACTCCTTTTTCTCAATTTTTCTGTAAAGTTAAACACATTATTATAATTATTAATAGCTATCATACCCATGCGTTGCCTTCAGAGTAGGCAACGTTCAAATAATTGCTTCTTTTCAGTCATGATTGCTCGGTGCCTTTTTCTTCACAACATTATGATGTGTTTGCTTCCTTGTAGGTCAGTCATCCATCCATCACATCCACCTCTGCCTTCAGTCCCTCCCTGAGCATCGACAGCCAGGGATCGGGTACGCCTGTCATCATGTGTCGCAGTCCAACAGGTAAATTGTAAATTTGATCTAGTAAGAGGAGAACTAGTTAAAAAGAAATGGTTTTGCCACTTTCTGTTTATGCTTCTATTCTGCAGATGGAAAAGGGAAAACATCACCCAGATCAAGTTTGAAGTTCCGCTTTGACAAAATGAGCCACTCATCCACAGCGGTAAGTCTCAAATTGTTCCCAAATGACAGCAATTGTGTTTGTCAGCAAGTGTTTGGAGTGTTTTATTGGATTTCCAGAACAGAAAATGTTCAATAACAAAAACAAAATAGAAAAATATAACAAATCAGCAAGGAAGCAGCTGCTGTTTTTAGTAATATTTCTGTCTTTTCTCTCTTTCAGTCTGAGTAGATTTGTGGAAGGAAAAAGCAGCAGACTTCCTCAGTGAAGAAGCAGAGTGACTCTGAAGAAGCTCACTAAATCACAACATCACCAGAAAAATAAAACATTTGTACAGCCTTTTCTCAGATTAGCAAAAGGCTAATCCGAGTAGAGCTGCACAGGAGATCCTGCACATAGACATACTGATATAACTGTGAGTGTAAGTGAAGAAAAGCAGCTCATCCACGTTCACTGTCTTTAAAGCAGCTTTTAGCTGCTTGAATCTAGCTGCAGCATAACTCTTGTTGTTCCTATCACTTGAAGGTCTTGGCATGGCTGTAAAACTGTGAGTGTAGGGCGGCCTGTAGACTGCGCCTCAGCTTTTTCTTAGACATAATCTGTCATACATGTGTACAAGTTTATGGCCGAACTGTTAGTCCTCATCCAGCCAAGTGCTGAGCACTCTGTAGAACCAACGACAGACTGCAGGATGTTCCTTTTATCTTTACCTTTCAATGGTACGTCTGCAAGCAGTTCCTTTTTTGCTTTGAGAAAACAAACAGTGAGCAGAGACTATGCCACTTTCACAAAGACCTAATGTATAGTCTACTTACAGTAGCAAAGCCTTGTGGGACTGTGGAGCCTGAACTTCTTCATTATGAATATTAATGCTTTTTTTAGAAAACAACTATGATTTTTGGAGATGCTTTTGTAACCTTGGTACCCGTTGCATTGTGTCCACAGCACTCTAAAGATGTCTCCCAGCAGAACATTTCCATATCTGTAGGGGTGACCCTCGTTAGACACAGTAGGAGACACTGCCAGCACATTTTAGCCATAAGCTTATTTTAGCCCAAGCTGCACCTTACAATCGCTGCAAAGCCCTTTTTCTCTGCTTGTGCGTTCAATCTCTCACCGTGTGAGAGGATGAGAAGTTCCTGGATCTGGTTACGGCACAACTTGTGGGAAGCCAAACTGCACCCACATTTTCTGAAGAGGACAAAAAGACGATGCACTTAGTAAAAAACATTTCACCTCCATGTTCCTCTCATTGAAGCTTGCTAGCTCGGTGTATCAGCACACATGCTCTGTGGTGCTTGGTTATTTTTAGCAGGGAAGTTTGCCAGTGAGGGAACTGATGAAGTCGACTTGAAAAATATGCTCCAGAAGGCATTTGAACCACATTTTATAGAAATTACTTTTAATGTGAATTACAGCCTTGTCATTTGCGTTCAATGCCATGGTAACTGGTTTCAAACCCTGAAGTTGCAAAGATAGTTTCTGTCAAGGACAACAGGGCCATGAATGTTCTGTGATTGTCAGCTAGTTATCAACATATTAACATTAGCATTAGACTTCAACATTGACTTCTGTGTTTTTAGTGTGACCAAACTAGAAAGAGTTTGAATGAATAATGTGTTTTACTGCACAGGAACTTATTGGTGAAGTTAAAGATGGCTTAGCAAACTGAAGTTTCAAAGTTCACACACATTGCAAATGTCCTCATTTATTAATTGTTAACATCTTGGGAAGTTGCTCAGGATGAAGTTACTTGAAATGTACGTTTTAATATACCTAAACTAGCACATAATTTTGAAATGGGACAGGCCACCAATTACCTCTTGTAAGGAGAATAGGGACAGAAGAAACAGGAAGTTATGTTTATCATTTTGTTTGTAGCGGTATTGCCCAAAAATGTCCTGCAGCCCTTTTCTCTTTTGACATGCTTAATTTATTATATTAACTTCCTTTGCATTGATGTCATGTACAAACAAATCACTGCAGAGTATGCTAATTAATTAAAGTAAAATTATAAAATGAAAATATATTAATTTAAGAGATGTCTAAATAACATATATGTATATTTGGTTATGTAATGTGCCACTGAGAATTTATTCTACAATAAAATGTTGTATTTTGTGCCATATGTGTTTTTTTTGTTTGTTTGTTTTGTTTTGTATTTTCTTACCTTCTGCAAGGTGTCCACACAATACACATAATTTATAAAATACACTTTATTAATTTTTGGAAGCAGATCAAACTCAAACTTTCACCCTCAGATAAAAATCAATTAGGAAGTTCAATAAGAACTCAGGAATAACCAACGCTCTACCATAAAGACACCAGTGTCACTATTCACAGAAAAACAAGTTTAACATCAACACACACTGAGTATTTGAACATATTGCCCAGATACAGTCATAGTGTGGGCTTTAAGCTTAACAATACCATACCAGGTATCAACCATAGGGGTGGCTGTCTGTTTTCCTTACGTTGTAGATTGTAAAAAATGTTGATGAAATAACAAATGTAAAAATAACCCGTCATTTCATTTGTTTCTCCTTGTGCATTCTGCTCTGTTGAATCCCCAGTCAGTCGAATCCAATGTACTGATCCAGATTCTGCTGGAGGTTTCGTCCTGTTAAAGGGAGTTTTTTTTTTTTTTTATCTCCGCTGTCACTATGAGCATGCTCTGTAGGAGGGATTGTTGTTAAGTCAACGAAACCCACATTTTCTGTGGGTGCAAGCTCATCCAGAATGAGTGAACATTTTAAATTGATGACTCAGTGCAATCTGCTCAGTTTCCTAAATTAGAAACTTTTTAAACTACTTAGAATAATTAACTGAGCTTAATGTACTGCTTGATCACTACAATAAAGAACTACTTTGAGTTTAACTTTACCTCAAATCAATAGCTAGACAGTTGAAACCTGTGTATGTTAGTTATGATAGGACAATAATCCTAATCACCCAATCAAACTGCTTTTTAATGTACAAAGTAGGCAAACACTGAGCTTCATGAATAGCCCCTACATTATGATAAAAATGTGGGTTCATGCAAGAAAACCATCTCATTTAAGCAAGTTATCACCTCTAATGGAAAGTCCAATTAAATGGACCTTCATCTAACCCTATACCACAGATCTTTGGACCCGACTGCTCCATAGTTTCGTCTTCTGTCTTTGGCTGTCAGGAAAACCTGACAGATGAGTAGACAGTGGGTTGAGCTGGCTCTCTCAGAGCTTTTTGATTCTTCAGGGCATCTTGAGAAATGTCTGCATACAATAACTGTAACATATAAGATGACATACAACTATGTGAAACTTCTACAAGATCAAATAGACTGCAGACAGATTTGTGGCGCTGCACATTACGAAGGCAATACTTTCCCCTACCTCTGGCTTTTGCTGGGATGGTGAGAGAGCTGAAAAAGTTCGATCAAAATAAAGGTTTAGCTCTGACAACATAAACATTACATTTTTGTTAATTTCTTAACTCTATGATTTAGATTTCTAACAAGTTAAATTGTTAGATACCTTTGTTAGGAGGAGCAGTGCGTTTCTTTGGTACTGGGCGTCGGGGTGGAGGCTGTGGAGGCTGATGTGATCTAACTTTATGTCTATCTGCAAGTAAGACCTCTTTCGTGGGATGTGGCTGTTGGTTGACCTCTGAACTCAGGCAGCGAGCCAATCCCAAAATGACAGGAAGACAAAGAAAGGCGCCGGTGCAGACCAGAAGCCTGTGTGAGAGTTTTCTCTCCAAGGCAACACCTGCATGTTGGGGATGACAGAAAGAAACAACAATGCACAAACACCAATGACTAAAATATGCATGATCCATGTTTGATTAGCACATGTAAATGAGTATATACCTTTTGTGACATTCACTTCCATCCAATGGCTTACATCATGGCTTCCATCACTCCATTTCACGTTGCATGTGTACAACCCTTCATCTGACTGTCTAACATTCAAAATCTTTAAATTTACCTTGCTTTGATTGGCACTGACGGGGGCTATGGTGAAACGGTGCCTTGCGCTGTTTTCAACAGTGGTTGAAGTTGTGAGATTTTCCCTTTTAAAGTTGACTGTCCAGTTACCTCCACAGTGTTGAACCACACAGGACAGAGACAAACTGCCCCCTGCAGGAACGAAGAATCTCTCACGTTTTCCAAATACACCCTGACTGCATTCTTCAGAAAAAACACCTAAATGACAGAGCATTCAGTTAGATTAATAGAGTGTTTTGTTTGAAAAAGCTAAACACTTGGTTTCTATGTTTAATATTTTTTAAACCACAAAAAAAGCCTTAAAATGAATTAATCATTTGAAGAAAAATAACCTCAAAAAGTCAGATTTTTTAACACCTAAGTTGTTTATTATATGTAAGAATATCAAGTACAAGAGACATAAGAGTAAAACTTTACTTTGACTTATCATGGCTTTATGAACAGTATGTATTCATATTAGTCAAACTACACAACTTCAAAAAAGGCCAACGATTACTTTTGAACACTGCAGTTTTATTTCTTGGAGTTTCCTCAACAAAATCTAACCAAATACAAAACATAGCTTGAAATGTGACAAGACAAGTTTCCAGACTAAGTTGAGTTGAAACATGTTCTTACCTCCCTGAAAGATACAGAGACAGCTGATCACACGCAAGATGAACGTATACATGTCTGGTAAAAAAAAAAAAAAAAAAAAACAATGCTGCTGTTCAGGAAGCTCAAAATCTCAGTTCCCTTGAAAAGATCAAGTCTCCATGCTATGACTCACTGAAATAATCTGACAGTCGAGCACTCTTAACTTAACATAAACCGTTTACTCAAACCATTTTCAGCCTTTCTCTTAGCCTTTCCTAAAGCAGTCACTGTCAGGGATCATTTTCGATTTTCACTTTCCTTGCTGCTTTTTTTTCTAGGTGGAGTCAGAGGAAGGAAGTGACCCACTAACTCAGCCCATTTACAGTTTTCTGAGCACAAACACACGTTAGAATTTGATTTACAGGAAAGCATTGACTTCAAGAGCAGTAATACTGACTATCAAGCAGAAAAGGGGGCTCATTTCAAGGAAGTGGAAACTCCAGTCTCATAAAAGTCCTCAGAAACTCATTTATTCTACTTTTTATTTACTGTAGCTCTTGTTTGAGTTGATTTGTTTTTGATATTTAAAAAAGAACAACATATGAACAGATGGTTGATTTATGAAAGCAATTTGCACTTGATCTGCATGGATATAATAACTCCATGCAGATCATTATTAATTTTTGGATTCAAAGAAGGTGAAAGTTTCTGGGATTTCTTAAACATCTTGTCTTACTAAAGTATTCATTGTTCTTAAATTTCACAACATTAATTTAATTTGTTTGGATGTCAAGTAACAGATCAACATATAGCAGCACACAATTGTGAGTGCCTTTCTGAGAAATTCATAATTTAGTAATACATTTTCACTAATTTAATTTTGAAATTGTGACACATTCGTCCTACTATGATTCCTTTAAATAAAATGCAGTGCTCCCGAATGCTTTTAGAAGTCACCTAATCGGTAAATAATATTAATCTCTATCATTTTAATCTCAGTGGGATTCAGCTATATTCTAAAAGTGTTTAAGAGATTTGGTAGTGAACATTAGTGAAAAAACAGCATAATGAAGACCAGAAAACACAGATGAATATATTAAAAATAATACCCATGTTCTTCCGAGTGTAGTTCTGGTGCTATATTTAGGGTATTATTAGTCTGGTCTTATAGGAATACATGTAATCTGAAGTCTATCATAACTTTCAAACTTATATTTGCAGATATAGTTTAAGTCTATACATACTGTACACAATTTGTGTTCCTTTGGAAACTTCTTTTTTATAAAACTCCTGTACGTTGTGTTCAGCTCTTAGGTGTTTTTGTACTTGGTCATGTTGAAAACCAATAAATTTCAGTTCTCTGCTGGCTGCGACTATGCCCTCTTATATCTAATTTAGTTCATTTTAGTTCGGTTTTAAAGAACTTTATCAATCCCAGAAATGAAATGAAAACTCATTCAGTTTTCGTCAAATCGTTGTTGCAGATGCATTTGACTCTAGGCAGGAAGGATCTTCTGTAGACGTCTGTATATAGCGGCTCTGGAGAAACCTCTGACTGAAGACATTTTGTTTTTCTGTAACAAGTAATAGTTTCAGGTCCTGTTTCAGTTTGAAGACTCCCATAGCAGTAAAAAAGAGAGAACGCGAAACATTATGTCTTGTACGTGAACCACAAGCGCAAACCTAAATCTTTCTGATGGGATGGTCCAGAACAAGGTCCAGCTGACAGGAGCTGAACATTAGATTAAAACCTACTTTATTACTGTGACAAAAAAAAAAAAAACAAAACAAAAGAAAAAAAAACAAAGAAAAAAAAACAGAAGGGTTCGTAATGTGTTAAATAAAAGTCTCAAGGGTGACATGTCACACCGGGAAGTTTCGATGGATATAGTTTTGATTCTTTAACTCCGCCCAAACGCTGCGTCAAAGATCGAACCAGAGCACAGAAACGAGCGCACCCCTCGCACACACTGACTCGCTGTCGGTGAATGAGATAAACAAAGAGCCGGCGACTTTTTGTGGGACAACAGTCTAAGCTTCTCAAGCTCCTCAGAAATATGGACGCCGGTAGGTTGAGCGTGGCTGTGTCCCCTTTCAGCGATGTTGGTTTTATGTCGTCGACCAGCTAAAACAAACGCTCTCCAGCATCTTAAGGGTTGACAAGGGACCGAGCTAACATGCTAGGTTAGCATCCAGTGCGCTAGCAGCATGCCGGAGCGGTGAGCTAGCAAGACTACCGTGTTCTGCCTGCGAAGTTGGCAGCTTATGGAAACAAACACTATGCATGGGGCAAACATCGAGACCGCAGATCTAAGCAGATAGTAAGGAATATATTCCATGTTTGAAGTTGTCAGCTGTAGAAAATGTAATGCTTCCTGCTTAGCCAGCTAGTCCAAAAATGGACCTGTCAAACTCTTTAAACTTCAGATTAATTTCCTTTAGATGAGAATATGCTAGCTGATGTTTCCTGAATTATTTTTAAATGATACAACTTTCCGAAATAGTTTAGATGTGCTCCCTCTCTCGGGTTTTACAGCTGTCTGTATTTATAGGCTAATGTTTTGTGTTTCTGACTTGGATCTGAGTGTTTAGATGGCATATTTAGAAGAATGTGCCAAATCTATACAGAATTATTTTGTCGATTTGCGAAATGGAACAACGTGTCTTCTTCGTAACACATTTTGATCTCTGTTTTTCGGCTCCATTTCAGCTGTTGATCTGCCCTTTGCTCGTAGTGCCGCGACGGGCATCGTAAAGTGCTTAGCCAATGCAAAGCCAGCTGTAAAACCTCTGATGTGTGAATTTGCAAGTCACCCCTGGCTGCCAGGGCTTGGCCCCAAACCATAGAAAAACCTCTGTGCTGTCAGCTCTCGCCATTCATTCCTTCATGTGTTATTTAACACAGTTGTAGGCTTTACCAGTAGTAGGTGTCTAACCTGGTGACTATTAGATTACATCTTATAGCTTCAGCTTCAACCTGGTATTTAAAAAAAAAAGGGGGCTATGTGTATGTGTGTACCCATTAGTCCCCCAATCAGCGGACCGGACAAGCTTCCAGTGTGGCGTTCTTACAGATGGAACCAGATAAGTGTTCAGGGCCTGGTCTGGTCTGCCCTATGCAGCTAAAGGGCTCCAGTACTATTCGACAATATGGAAACATTCTTGAGTTTTGTCTGCGTTTGCTCCAACTGGGCCTGTGTTCCCCCATTAGAGCTGTTCTTCTAACAACATTTATTATCCCAGACAGGCAATTGTTTGTTGTTGACTCTGTTTGGAGGGTGGAAAAAGAGTGGCACTAGGCAGTTGATGTATTCAGGAAAAGATGAGCTTACAACTATTGATCCGGTGTTTTCCAGGAATTATTTTAATGTCGTAGTGAGTGAGCGCTGTTGAGTCAAGTCTCTAATGGGAAGTAGTGTGTTAAACCCACAGTGTGTCGATGAGTCATAAGAGTTACAAAAGAGAATAACTGACTGTGATTGAAGTTGAGCAACTTGTTTTTTGAGTACAATTCGTCACTTTTATCTCCCTCTTCGGTTCTCTAAAGGTTTGAGTCCAGAGAAGGTGACCGCCTTTACAAAACGCCTGCGATCCGAACCACGTTATCTGTTGGCCCAGAATGTTTCCACCTGCATCGACCCATTGGAGGTTTGTTTGCACCGGCAGACTGTCCAGGATACTGTGCACATCTTTCAGCACTCTATTCCCACAGAAGGCAAACCTATCACCAACCAAAAAAACTCAGGTATGACGCATACATTACCTGTCAACCCCACAGAGAAGAGCTAAAAGATAACAATATGTATGTAACTTTAGGTCAATGAAGATGCATGCCTTTCCAATCATTTCCCTTGAGAGATTACCTCCTCGATAAATCAAAACCACTTTTGTGTAATTTGATTTTCAGTAGAAATCCATGTGTTAAAATGACCCAGTCTAAATCCATTCTTGAATTTATTCAGGAATATGTTGAGTGACAGTTTTGTGTCATGCCTTCTCTAACTGGTTTATTGGTGTCTTTCAACAACAGGGAGATGTTGGATCTTCTCGTGCCTCAATGTCTTGCGACTTCCCTTCATGAAGAAGCATAATTTAGAAGAGTTTGAGTTTAGTCAGTCTTATCTCTTCTTCTGGGACAAGGTAACGTCATCTGCACAATCTCATTCGTCTTCTTATTGATACCTGGTTTTTGTGTTTTGCAGCATGACAGTTACTACAGTTTCTTCTGTTAGCGTACGGTTTGTGGATCTGCTTGAATCGATGCAATGTTATTACGCAGCACTCTGTCACCTTGTCATTGTTCCTAAAACCCTCTTTTGTGTGTTTTGTTTTGAACTGATGTCACAGTGACCTGTCACTGCAAGTTTCAAGCTTTACATTTTTTCCATAGTTTTTTTATTCTCCAACATGTTGGGACATTTTCCCAGTCAGGAATGCAGCTTTAATTTGCGACTTGTTGAAGGGAAATGGAATAACATTGCAAGTAGAATTAGTTGTAAATTTAACAACAGGAAGGTAGAACCTAAAAATTTGTTGCTTCTGTTTGTTAGTAAATCTACCAAAGTGAGCATCTCCTCTATTTGTGATAATGTTTTTGGTATAAAGGCTAATAAGAAATATAATGTCTGGATTAGAACGTGATGGTGAGGATTTTTATTTACTTACACAACAAGTTAATAATTACAAAAACACAGGACTAATAATTTAGAAACTCATTTATAACCAAAAATTCTTCTTTCTCTCTTCCTTTCTTTGTTCTTTTCTTTGTTTACTTGTTTTTTTCTTTTTTCTTTTCTTTTTCTCTCTTTCTCTTTCCTTCCATCCATCCATCCATCCATCCATCCATCCATCCATCCATCCATCCATCCATCCATCCATCCATCCATCCATCCATCCATCCATCCATCCATCCATCCATCCATCCATCCATCCATCCATCCATCCATCCATCCATCCATCCATCCATCCATCCATCCATCCATCCATCCATCCATCCATCATATTTTGTTAAGAAAATATGAATTATATAATTTAACACAATTTCACATAAGCATCTCTTTGTCAGCTTATTTGTTCACCAAAACAATTTTTTTAGCATTTATACTTTTTCTTCATTTAACAGAAAGCATAAAAGGTAAAAATTTACCCAGTAAGAAAACTATTATTAACAAGGCCCGTGTTATTTTATTTTTTTTAACAAAATGTTCTGATTCAAGTTAAACACATCACCTGACAAAATACTCACTTGCTTAAATTAGACTTTTGCGATGCTGTTTTGGCTATATATTCCTGTTTGATCGTTATTAAGCAAAAATCTGGGCTGGGGTTTAGCCCTGCTGCTTCTAATGCAATAGTTGCTGCAGTTTTTATTTTAAACAGTAGATGTCGCAGCAGAGTAACGTTACCTTCATTCATCAAGAGATAATGCAGAAACAAACCTTCCAAAAGTCTCTGTGAATGTTCTGTCCTTGCTGTGGGGAGAGAAGCGGCAGGAGGTGACCAGGTGCTAGAGGTGATAGAACACAAAAGTGCAGCTGTTCTCATTATTTCTGCTCATCTCTGCCTGACCTGCAAACCAACAGCATCAACTCCCACACTTTAACAGACACAGCTAGGCATGTTCTGTGAGTTTTGATGGCTATGGTATGAGCCTTCAGTTTATTTTAGGCATAGCGATGGGAGAAGCATATGTGTGTTTAACAACATAAAATACTCCCCCCACACACACACAGAGTGGGTGCTGAGTTCTTGCCATCAAAGGTGAATGCTGAAACTATTTTTCTACATAAGTTGCAGAAGTTTGCAGACGGTGGGAAAAAGTAGTTGAATGTGTCTTTTTATTCAGTGTATGTGGACTTTGGGATTCAACAGGGTAGCATAAAATAACAGTAAAGACCTTGCTTCTACAAGCACAACTAAACATAGAAAAAATTTAGCACTAATTAATGGACTGAAAAAATCAGGTTCATTAATGTGAACTATCCCTTTTAAAGTAAATAAATGAACATAAGAGCTGTTTTTTTGCAGATTGAACGTTGCTACTACTTCCTCCATGCGTGCATGGAGACGGCACAGAGAAAGGAGCCAGTAGACGGACGTCTGGTCCAGTTCCTTCTCTCCAACCCAACCAATGATGGCGGGCAGTGGGACATGCTGGTCAATCTCATTGGTTAGTTCTCATGAACCGTAATCATAGTAAAGTAAAGCTAATATTTTCTTGAATCTGCACATTGTTTCTGCTTTTCACTTCAGATGTTTTCACATTTCTTTTGTTTAGAGAAGTACGGCGTCATTCCAAAGAAATGCTTCCCAGAGTCACACAGTTCAGAGGCTTCACGGAGAATGAACGACATCCTCAATCATAAAGTACAATTGGCACATTTAGCTTAGTGTTCTGTTGAAATTGCATTATATTTTTATCATTGACTTGTGTTAGTAATAGAACAGAGCTGTTTTTGTCTCCCGCTTTGCTTCAGCTGAGGGAATACTGCTTGAGACTGAGGAACATGGTGGCCAGTGATGCTACAAAGGCCGAACTATCTGAAGCTATTGACTCCATGATAGAAGAGGTGAGCCTAACAGGGAATACACACTCATGTTTTCTTCTATCATGTTGATGTACTGATTGACTTTGGAGAGATTTTTTATTTTTGCTGACTAAATGTAGTCAGTGAGTTTCAGAGTTCATGCAGTAAAACATCTCCACAGTTAAACATTTACTGTGAAAACAATGGATTACAGAGTAAAGAATTTGGTCTGATTAGCTTCTCTCTCAAGTACTCACACCTTGATTTTTAGTAGAAGCAAAAAATATAAATTTATGAATGTTTTTACAGGTTATAAGGGTGTTATGTTACCTTTAATATACAGTGTAATTTTTGTGATATGGTACATTTACATGTTGTGAGGGCACATAATAGTAGGCAGTTCAAAATAAAAAGTAAAATTCAACTCCAAATGCCCACATTAAAGAAGAAAAACTGTATTTTATTTATTTATAAAAGAACATAAAGTCAGTATTCAGATCAAATTGTCAATTTTTATGGACTGTTATCCAGTCACTGTGAACTGCCACAGTTCAGTTCTGTAAGAAATATGATTTTGTATTTTTACTTTGGATACAAGATTGTACGAAAGTTACATATCTGACTAAAACACTTAGTAAGACTCGGAATACTAAAATCAAAGTTCAAAACTCACTACCGAGAGGCTTATTTAATGTTTGAAGGATTCTGTAAATGATTTTTGCTGACGTTAATTGTTTACTCCATTCAGCTTTGTGTAGCGAATGTGTGAGTTTGATGGTCCGTCAAGTTGGGTGAGTTGAGCTTCTCGGTTCTTGCAGGTTATGCATTTATGGAGCATAACCTGCTCCCGGGGTTGTGCTCCCAGCAGAATCCCAGGAGCATTCTGTTATTGAATTGAATTGTTCCATTCTGACCAGCAGAGGGAGCTATCCATCAATGCATACCGAGGAGAACAATGTCCAGCATAACAGTGGACGTAAAAGTAAATTGAAGGTATTGAAGTTTGTCAGTCAACAGATGTTTGCAAAAATTAAAGACAATTTGAGAGATGGGACACAAATTCAGGCTTTCATTTTTAAACAGGATAGCATAAGTTAATCGAGTTTCATTGAGAATGTTGAACTCATCTCGATGCATGCCTTCACGTTTTGTTTTTTAGTTAAATTATAAAGCTTCCCTTTCTTGTATCTGTAATAACAACGTTAATTAATTTATTTTCATCAGTATTTGCTAATCAGCAGCAACTCATCAGATCGTTTTTGCTTGTGCAGTTTGTGTCTAATGCGCGTACGTCATGTCTGAAGCAGCAACCATGGACGATAGTGATCTTGTTTATGGAACAGTCAGTGATCTGTTGCTGCACAGCAAAGCCCAGTGCAACAGTCAGCTCTCTTCGTGTGTGTAAACAAACACATGTGCCACAAGCATAACACGTGTCAGGTGCCCCTCAGCGTTGTGTTGTGTGGGTTTAACGCCTAATTCGCCCTTCCTGTGTGTCTCTGTGTGTGGGGGAGGCCAGTCAATCAATCTCCCATCGACGCAGTGCGGAGGCCTGGTTAAACACTCTTTGTTGTCAGCTGTTAGGTTGTATTGTGCTACTGACTGGTTGCTTGTTTAAACAGTTGTTTGCATCTACCTGCACGTTCATGGATGTCCTCTCATCGCCACACACATACACGTATCGGATATGTATGTAATGCAACAGTTAGGTTTCCTGCTGCTACTCTGCACTGCTGTTTTGTGGAAGGTGATGTTTTTGTGTTTGTCCACCTGCAATCGTTTGTTATGCGAAACACAACTCGGTCACGGCTGTTGCCGACAAACGATCCATTCTGTTAGAAGAACGATGAGCATAAACAGAGCCAAACTACGCACGGATGTCGCTCCAGGCTAACTTACAAAGTAGTATTCAAGCCAACGCCAAGATCTGATAATGAGACTGCATTTGTCTAGAGCGGCATGATATTAGGAAACATCACTCACCTTTATTGTTATATTATAAAAAGTCAAAGAAATGTTTGAATTCAAATTTTAATGCACAAACGTTTGTGCATTAAAGTTAATTTCCATCAAAAGTGTAACTTTTTGATGAAGAGCAACTGCAGTTGTTATTGATCATTGATCAATTGATTTTTGATTTTTCTATCTTAAGTCTTTGCTTTTGATTTTTTTCAGATTAACTCAATTGTTTGTGTTTTGTAAGAGATGTGGTCCACATGATGTAACAGGTAAAGTAGTGGTCTATGAAGGCTAACAATGCACTTGAAAAAAAAGCAGAGATTTAAGTTGTTGTGGTCTGGATTTGGTGTAAATTTTAGCTTCATATTATCTCAAGTCAGTTGTAATCAACTGGAAATACTGTTGAACTTCTTGGAGGCTACAAACCTCTGCAACACAGAAGGTAATCTTGAAGAAATGTCTGCCTCTTACTAAAACACATCTGTCAGTGGCTTGTTAATTAGGTTAACAAACTACCTCATGATTCTTACAGTCTCTGAAATTCCTGCCTTCAAGTCCTAATCTGTGGTCACCACCTGTTCTGTTTGTGCTCTTGAATCTCTTGGCCTTATTTTTTTTTCCTCTACGTTGAGGGAACTAGTTTTACCTCAAGTTGCTCACATGTGCTTTAGTCAAGATCAAAGCGTCTTGTCAGACCTACTTTCATGTGCGTGGAAATGATGCTGTCCAACTGGCCTATGTGGCGGCTGGGATTGTGCCCTGGTCTTCATCACGTCGGCCCCGTACACAGCGCAGTGACAGCCAATAGGGGTCAGCGTCTCTGCTTCCACTCACCAGACTTGTCGCTCACTTGACTTTAATGAATATATTCGTGTGTCAAGAACCTGGTCTTATCGTAACAGCCGGTTGGGGATGTTCAATCAAACGAAGCTCATGACATTAATTTCAGAGCTGGGCCATAAGACTCCTGGTTTGAATTATGACATCATTTCTGGTATTTGAGTTGTTCAGGCTCAGATAATGACTGATTGACTCATCTTGAGTCCAACTTCAATATGCTGCAAAGAGTCAACATACACACTTAAATAGGGAAAAAAACAAATCACAGGAAACAACATATATGCTGTACTTCACACACATAAAGAAATACGCAGATGTTATCCCTCACGCCATAATTGGAGCCTCTCCGTGCTCCATTGCGTCATGGAATCAGACGCACCATGTGCAGCTCTGCTCTTGGCTCTGAACATGCAGAGTGTGATTCCTGAGACAAGTCTAATTTATGAGTCGGTCATCAGCTGACAGAGCAGTTACCCTCTGTTACTCGGAGGCCCCGTGCATGCAGGCTGCGGGCCCCCATCATTTGTTGTTCGATGTGGGTGGGTTGCTGCATGTGTGTCTGTGTTTCAGGTTGCAGGAATAGCCGCAGCCTGAGTCGTCTGCTTGCCTTTATTTTTTTCTTCTTCTTCTTCCTTTTCTTCTTTTGACTTTCTCCACACAATTGCTGGGATTTAACAATGACCACATGTGTTGAATGTTTACAAAACATGGAAGTTTAATCAAAACCTCTTTCAATTTTATCCAAACTGTTTGCATGGTGTCATTTGCTTATACTCACAAGTCCAGCTTCTAGACAATGGTTATACATTTATTTCTGAGGAGCAATTAAGAGCACCGTTTACCTCATTTTGACATTCAGTTTTGGTGAGAATGCATTTTAACCCTAACGTTTACTGGCCACCATATGTACAACAACAAATTACTCTATTTTTTTCTACAACTTTTCAGTGTGCAACATATTCAATAGGTGTTCTTTTGTTTGTTCTTTATTATTAAAGATTGCTCAAATTGTTCTGCTGTGCAGAATTATTTTCATTTTTTTCCTTAATTTTTCGTATTCTTGGGAGGGTAAAAAGTTAATCTCTAATCTTTATTTCAGGCTACATTTATTAGCACCCTGATGAAGAAATATGTCAATTTATAAATTGGTTTTATCACAGAAGAATCATCCAATTCCTCTCAGACTTTCTAAGAACTTGCAGTTTATCTGCGATTTTGTGTTTTCTTGGGGAAAAAGATATGATGTGATGCAGAGCCCCAGTCCTCTGGAGGAGGACTGGGATTTATCTTGTCACCACAGAGCTTTACAGCAGTAAATTGGGTTAAAAAAGTATTGCAAGGCTCATTGTGGCAAGACATTTTTACTGAGAGCTGCAGTAAAGAGTGACATCTTGTGGGCACTCACCGAGCCACCATCGCAAACAGCCAAAAATGAGTTTACTAAACACAACTGAAATGATGTTTGTTGATCAGATGAGTCTAATGGCGCACACTGCAAAGTCTGTATCTGAAAGACACCACCGGCCACTTCGTTATTTTGTTAAACTTCCCGCAGCAGTGTGGATGCCTCAAGGTACATGACCTAGCGATCTTCCTCAGACCACTGGATGATCTGCTTTGGGGAACCGATTTTTCTATTAGAAAATACTTCACATTTCTGACTAAACTTTCAGGATTTTTACATAGTCTTAAAGATTTAAATCTATTAATTGAATGTTTTTGGATTTTAAAAAGTGTAAACTTCATCCAGCTTTGACATAAAATGCTTAAATTAAAGTTTAATTATTTTTTAGATGTGCATGTTACTTCTTTACACCTGTTTTTCATTTACCCTAATTTGTTGAGGGAACTCCTGTGGTAATCATCTGTTATGCCAGTTGTATTTTCAGCTTAAGAACTTGCATATTTTATGGTTAAAAAAAAAACTACAGAGCACGGATTCACCATTTAAGTTCTGTTCCTGAAAGTGGTTAATGAACAACTTCATAGTTAACTTGACCAAGTTTAACTCGGCTCTCAAAAAGTCTCAATTTACCCCATTGATATTTGCAGAAACTCTTAAGGTTTAATGACTAGAACCCAGAAATCTATTTCTTCTCAGCACACCTTTGCTTTATTAACGTTGGGATTAATAAAGTACTTTTTGAATTTGAATCAACTTGACGTTTGTGTGAAAGGTACCAAGTGGCTTAGGTTCTTTTGACCAGATGAAACATGGTGTCTGCTTTCCATAAACCAAAAACTTTTAGGCAACAAAGACTTCCAGGTTAAAGGTTGGGGTTTTTAAAAACCATTTTGTCCCATATTATACAGATGCTATAAAAATACATTTCTTTTTTATGCTATTCCAGGTTTTTTTTTTTACTTTTTATTTTTTTTATTTCTTTGTGTGCATGTGTGGTGTTCTGTATAATGTCAGTCATTTCTTGTCTGCTGTATGGGTAGTTTCGCTCCTAACATCAGATGACCTGTTTGTTTTGGTCACACACAATATCTAAATATGTAAGATGGGTGTCAGCCATCCAGTAAACACTGGAAACAGATCTTATCAGACTTTGGCCACAGTTGGCGTCAGTGTCGTGCAGTCGGTCGGTCACTGTTTACAGCTTGACATGCAAACTAACTGTGACAGACCTGGGTGGATTTTCATTCAGATGCTAAATTACAACAAAGGGGGCTACGCAATAACAAATCCCCACAAAATAAGTTGATAATGTTGAACTGTTCTCTGTTCAGATTTTAAGATTAAGATTTTAGTGAATGAATGTTTTTTGTTTTTTTTTTATCTTTTTATTCGGTTTTTACATCAAAATACAAAATGTGCAAAAAATGTATAAACAAAGTATATAGACTTTTTCTATAACAAATGAATGAATGTTTGATGTAGTTTGAATTAATGGAATACCAGCTGTCATGATTTTGACTTGATTTATAGTGAATTATATCGGTGTTTCAGAATCTTCATCCATGTTTTTGGATGTCTTGGATCATTTACTTTTAGCTAACATCAGCATGGGTAGCCATGATGAAAACAAATCAATAGGTTTATAGAACTTTTTTTTTTCAGCATCTCTGTGTCTCCCTCTTCTGTTTTCTTTTTGTCACTCATTTACATCTGTCATTGATGCAACAGGTGTTCCAATATAGGTCCTGCTCACATGTCACCATGGCTGTTTATCCTCTACGGTCGCTTTCTGTCGGCCAAGCCTCACACTCACACCCCCTCTATTTACTTTACCTGGTGTGGTGTGTGTTCACATGGCTGACCTGAAGTAAAGTGATCACACTCCCTTGGTCAAACCTTCTTCGACCTAAAGTTCAGAGCTTTTTTTGTAGAAAAGAATGTTCAAAGCTGACAGAGACAAAACTAAACACAACCTACAGATGTAATTCCAGCCAAAGTATTCTGCAAAGAATTGGCTTGAGTGGACTTCATAAAAAAGCAACATCTTCCTTTAGTGTTTTTAAATTCCTGATTAAAAAGCAATGTAGTCTATATAATCTGTGTTATAAACTGGCATAATGTTAAAATATTTTATGGGTATGAATGCTTTTGCTATGCTGATGGTTGCAGTGGTCTATGCTCAACTATCATGAGGAAGTTGAACATTACAAGAAGAAAATACTGGTAATAAAAACCAAAGCAAGAAGTGTTTGATGGGAAGATGGACACTTTGGCTTTAATCTTTGCCCATAAGACAGTTTAAACAAAATTTTTGAACTGAGATCAAGGAAGTTCAGAGGCCTTTGTTGACTCAGTACATCTGTGTATTTTGGTTTGCATCTGTTCTTTTTGTGACTTCACGCTTTGCAGTGCTGAAAGAGGCAAGTGTTTGTTTGACTAAGCCAGGGCTACATTTCACATCTTTCTTATACTAGGAATTTTGGAAAATGTTTGCTTGACTTACACAATTAGAACATGCAATGTAGCATTAGACTGTTTGTCAAATCGCGGAACTTATTTTTCTAACACAACAAATGCAGTCCGCTTCATCTTAGTTCTTCTTATTTGTTTTATTGTATTTCAATGCAACAATCGTGTTAGGTGCTGGGAGAGGCAAGCAAAGATTGGCGAGGAGAATAGCAAAAAAGAGGGAAATTCCAAAGATAACTCTATCAGAGGCTGGAAGAGCCAGATTGACAGACGACCCAGTCCAAACAGCTCGATTTAGCCCACAGGAACTCGGTCTGAACTTCTGCACTGCAGGAAGACACATATGAAGGAACGAGGGTGTGTGAGGAGGGACTAGATTGAGGGGAAAAATGTAGAATGGGAAGAAAAATCAAAAGGCGCACATAATGCCAGGAGAGTACAAAACCCTCCACCCCATTTAAGATTAACTGTAAATTATTTAGTATTTTACAGCTATTTCTAAACTAGCAATATCTCATAATGTGGGATAACCAGCTTGATAGGTTATTTAGAACAGTTAATGATGGAGGGTCCATGTTCCTGCTGTCTTTGCAGGTGTTTCGTGTGGCCAGTGTTTGTCTAGGCAGCCCACCTGACACCATCTGCTGGGAGTACAGGGACAAGGATAAGAACTTCCACCGCATGGGACCACTCACCCCCCAGCAGTTCTACAGGGAACACGTCAAACCTCTTTACAACATTCAGGACAAAGTACTCACCACATCAGACAGACCACACAAACATGAGTTGCATACTTGCAAAGCGAAGCTGTTCGCTCTCTAAACTTGTGCGGTTCTTCCCCATGCTCAGGTCTGCCTTGTAAATGACCCCCGACCGCAGAATCCTTACGGGAAGCTGTACAGCGTAGAGTTCCTCGGGAACATGGTTGGAGGTCGTAGGACTCTGTACAATAACCAACCCATCCAGCTGCTGAAGAACGCCGCAGCGGACTCCATCAAGGAAGGAGAGGTCCGTGGGAACCACTGGACATGACTATTGTCACAAATATTTGTAAACTATGGATTCTGGAAATTGAAAAATACTTTTTTTTTAATGTTTGTTTGTCTTTCCACTTCTCCCAGGCCGTGTGGTTTGGATGTGACGTCGGGAAACATTTCCACAGCAAACTGGGCATTAATGACATGAATGTGTGAGTAAATTTAATCCAAGTTTCTCTGAAGAATGGATGAGACTTTAGACTGTACTAAATTTCCCTTCAGTTATGATAAAAACACTCTACACAGAATGAGAAGATAGCAGGGAATAGCTTTGTTTTCAAATATGAGAACCTGTCTATCAAGGATTACATTTCCTCCAAGCAGAATCCCTTTCATTCACTTTTAGGTTCCAACCCAGTTTGCACATGTAAATGGAACAAAACTCTTATAGTCTTGCAAAAGTATACATACCACTTTAACATTTTTTCTCATTCTCATAGCACAACAACCAACCTTAGTGTAGCGTATATAGTCAATTTATGTGATAGATCCGCACAAATTAATGAACATTTTCCAATTGGAGGTGATATAAATAGATTTTAAAATTCATTACAATTGAAAATCACCAGTTTTGCTTTTATATTTTCATTGTAGCTCATAATGTAGGTTTCCAATCTTCCAATCAACTACCTTATCTTGTAATGAATTGAGAATTCATTACAATTCTCAATTGTGAGAAGCCATAAGGGACTTCTTATGGCTGTCTTCCATCAGTAGTTTTCTTCTTGCCACTTTTCCATAAAAGCCAGATTTGTAGAGTCCAGCACTGTTAGTTTTCCTGTTCTGTTAGGGTTTAACTCAGCTGGAGACTGCAGCTCCGAGGAGTTTTGTGGAAATAGGCGGTGCTATGTTTAGGAACCCCAAATGGCTGCCACTGGAGATTAAAGGATTTCTCGGACATGCATGAAAGAATAAAAGCAACACTCCAGGTATGTTTTTGATTGGGGAAGAACATTTTAACATGATATGAAGCTCAAAAAAAGTTGATTTCACATTATACTCTCCCTTTAGGATTAAATTACAGGCAACTGGTTCACTTGACAGTTCTATGTGGGAACATACAATTTAAATAAATAAATATAAGTTTGTGGTTTCAAGGTGACAAAAATGGTATGAATGCTTTTGTAAGACTGTGTCAGGTGTCGACCCGTCCTCAGAGGAATTGTGGCTGATCTGCGTGAGTTGCTGGCGCCAGGCTTAACTTTTCCCGCTGAACTAAACCTGCATGGTGCTGAACGTCTGGTTTCATCACTCAGATGGATCTGTTTCAACATGACGCGCAACGTAGCCTAATTTCTTCAATCATTCTCAGGATGAGGAGAAACCGTGATGAGCTAGCTATGCTAGAATACCAGGCTTGTGCTTTTGGCTTTCTTCTTAATCCTTCTAAAATAGATCTAAGGATTATTTTTAAGATGGTCTTATGAAAAGATGCTTTTAGTGTACAAGTGAAGTCGCCACCTGAGTTCAAACTGGAAACACTCTCGATTCTGCTGCAGGTTCAACCACGAGCTTGTGTTTGGAGTGTCTGTAAAGAATCTTTCCAAGGCAGAGAGACTGATATATGGCGACTCTCTCATGACGCACGCCATGATCCTCACTGCTGTTACAGACAAGGTACACTTCCACAAACCTACGCTCCAGAAATGTGACAAACTCATACGCACAGCACTGACTAACCACAAGAAACACACACATTCAGAATTTCCCAGGGTTTTACTGTTTGTTTACTCGACCCTAATCTGCTGCAGTTTTTCATAATTCTGTCAATTTCCTCCATTGTAACCAACCCCAGCTGTCAGGTCACTCACTCTCTTCCCTCATATCTCCAGTTCTCACTCTTATCGCCCCCCTTGTCTGTCTTCTGTTCTCTCTCTCAGGGTGGGAAAGAAGGTTACGAAAAATGGCGGGTGGAAAACTCCTGGGGCGATGACCGTGGAAACAAAGGTAAGAACCAAAACTCTTGATTGATCCTCAGAAATGTGTGATGCTGAATGTTCAGTGCTTCAAACTAAACCTCCTCCTTTCACCTAAACTTGGCACATTTTCCAGCAAAGTCATCCGGTTTGACGTTGACTTGTAATGCTCCTGTTCATACGTATTCAATTAAAAACAGGATTAGAAGGAGTAGTTTCTGTTACGATGCATTTAATCTACTTTATGCAGTGACAAACGACCCAACAAATATGTTTTGTCAGATTTATTTTGTAAAAGAACCACAACACTTTACAAGAGGCACATGCATTCTGCTATATCTGAAAGATTTAATTTGCTTTGGAAACAGGACATCTAAATATCTGCTCTCAAATATGAATTTATATTCCTAGAGCACACACTTTAAACTCAATTGTCATGTTGAGATGTCTCAACAGCAATATTAGTGTAAAAGACCTTCAGAAGCAAAGTGTAACAAGAAATTAACAACGCTTTAAAAAGTATTTGTCTAAATTATTGACTTATGATTAAATGTCAAACAGCATTTTATCAGATTACTAGTACTTCCAATAGATTAACTAATAATCAAGTTAAAGATAGGAAGGTCCTTCTTCACCTTCTTTTAGTGTTGTAGTTTGGCCACCATCCAGAAGAGGGCGTCACTGGTTATTCTTAAGCAGAGCCAGTTGATAGAGAAATAAAGGTGGCGGAGGGATCTTAGAACAGGAAAGTAAACAGTCCCAATGGAGTCTGGCATAAGACGCAAGATGCACTTCATGCCATTATGTTTTTAAATATAAACACTTGAGAAGCTCCTTAAGTCTCATGGAGAATTTTGGTTTGTGACAAGTTAAACCAAGGTTTGCAAAATTGAAGGTGATGTGGTTCATTCAAAAGAGATATAGAAAGCGCTTTGAGTTCAAAACTTATTGTGCTTTGAAGTTAGCACAATACGTTTGTGCTAACTTATTGTGCTAAATTTTAGATCTTGACATGTATTGGTTTAGTTTCTTCCTTTTTTCTTTGTTTCCAGTGCGCAGTTGCTCTTTGGATCCTCCCGTATGTTGATTTTTCTATGTACGATCGCCTGTATCGTCTTGCAGTCTTGCAGTGCAAGACGATACAAAAAACATGTATTTTTTGTTAATGTGTGTTTTTTCTTCAAATCAGTTTGCCTCGGTCTGGTGGCAGAGTACATCTATTGCGTTAATCCTTAAGTCAAAGCAAACGGTGATGTGGAGCTTTATTTCAAAGCTGGATTATAATTATAGGCTTCTGTCTTTAAAATGCTTTTTAAACTATTTTTTTTGTATGCCAAAAAAAAACAGGTTTTGAATCTTTCTGCATGTGATGGAGAAAACAAAACAAAAGTCACAAATTATTAATTAGAATCTAATATCATGATTATGAAAATCTATCAAATATTTTGCAGTTGGTTTTATAAGAACATTTCATAACATTTCTTAACTCTCTCTCTCTCTGCCGCTTATCTCGATGTCTGGCCTCAACAAGCCTCTGGAAGTTCAGGGTGCCAAACACACACAACTGTACTCACAATATTTGCTTGAGCCCACAAACCTTAGAGAGTATTAGGAAAATATGTAAAAGCCCCTCAGTCAAATCAGATTTATTTCATGCAGATCTTATTCCATAAACACCAGCAGATGGGGGATGAACACCCCCCACAGAACACAGCTACCCATCTGTAGCTAAATTCAGAAAGTAGTCAAGAACAAAACTTTGAGAAGTGGAGTTCGTATGAAAGACAGACTTTCTTGGATAAAAGGTGAACCAAAGGTTGAAAAATAAGTAGAAGAAGCTGCGCCTGAAGGAAAAACAAAAGCATGTAGATTTGGTGAGAATTTGGGAACAGTGACAGGAAAGAAATCAAAGTTTTAGTGGCAAAGGGTGGAGAGGGAGCAGTTATGGAGATAATAGTGTTTGTAAAAACCAAATGCCTCCCTTTAGATCGCTTGATATTCCTGCTGAAGACACAGGAGAGATTTAACTCTCTGTTCTTTCACCTTTAAACCGTCTGTCAGATGCTATAATTACGCCACTTTCTCCACAACTCATTTTTATACCATTTTAAACAAATATCTGGCTACACTATTGTGGGTTTTATTTTACACTTTTAAAGGAACATTTGGCCGAGTTCCAATTTAGCATATCTTGTATCTGAACCTGGAATTACTCTGGCAGATAAAGATGATGGCTTAATTTCCCCCCCAGTTCTACTCTGTTGTCAGGCCAACTCAAAAATATCACGTTCATTTGTGTGGAAGGATTTGAATAAGAGACTTCATTAGCTTTTAAAAATGTTTCCAATCCATCACAGTTATTCCCACCCAGTTATCTGTCCCTGCACCTCACATAGAGTCCAGCTTTCATTTCCTTTGAAGTAGGTTAGGAAGTGTCATTTTTTTTCACAGTTATGTTTAACTGTTGTCATCAAAGCTGCGGTGCCATAGCAGCTCATTCCTCATGTTGAGCAATTCCCTCTAATTTCCCCAAAGTTGCCTTTCACCCATGACCCGTTTGTGAACCACTTTATCTCCCTGCTGTTGGTAGCAGGTCTCGTGCTTCCTTTGGATATCGGGTTGGATCATCTGAGATTTGATGATTGTTCCCAGTGGATTACCTCACACACTGATCCAGTGAGGGATCTGGAGGTTTTTCTACATTGGATGGGCCATTTAATTAAACCAGGGAATTGATATACAGTCCAGACAACAAGCTGAGTATATGGTCGTCAAACTATAAATAAAAGAACTTTGTGGAATGCAGTAAATATCATGAGTTATCACTTTGCATATCAATATAAAATGCATCCTGCATAATAGTCTTCCTACAGTCAATGTTCACACCTGACACAGACCTGACAGAGGTCAAAATGCTAAAGGTCAGAGAATGAGCTGGAAGAACAGATTAATAGAACAGCTGATCTAGTAATTGAATTATTGACCAAAATCATTATTATTTGATTGTCTTTTATGCAGCCCTAGTCATCAGCTCAGCTGTTGCAAGATTTGGCATGCAGCTCACAATTGTAAAAGATGACAAATAATTTGTTGAGTTATTTATCATTGTTCCTTTTAAAGCCTGAATATATTTGTGTCCACTTCCTGGTACCCCAGTGTCTTCTCTTAGGCTGAAGAATGAAGCAAAAGCAGAAGTCCAAAAAGCTAAAGTGCCTCAGACGAGGCCGACTCCCTTCAGTGCTGTGCCCTGTTGAGTTCGACAGATGAATGCAGTGGCTGCTAAACAGATCCTAAGCATTATCATTGTTCTTCTAAAACACAAAAATGCAAAGCCTTTTGCTGCAACTTGCTTTTTTATGTGAAATACAAGACAGCTGTTTTACACTCTCCCAGCTCCTACGACATCAATCTGTCCTTTCCTCTGTCAGTCTAAAGGCAAATAACACCCAACATTTGCACACACACCATGCCACCCAACATGTGGGTTCCAGGAACATCACAACAACTCAGGAATACCACAGTGGGAATCGGTCGACGTGCCATATGAAGACATGCTGCTTGGAAGAACGCGAATACGCAACACATGCTATCTTGATGCATTGTTTTGAACTGTGGCACATTCTTGCAGTTACCCTGACGACCTTGTTAAATGTACTTGACAGTGGGAGTGTTTTCTCAACTCTGAGCACGAGAGAAGAGAGGAAAAGCTAGTTGAATTCAGTTTTTAACAAGATTTTAGCTGTTGCCAGGTTGCTTTCCACATTCAAATGCAGACACATTTTGAAATCGAGCTGAGTGGTGACGTTGAAGGAGCCAGGTAAACATTTTTTGTGTTGTTCACGGTAGTTGTGAAAAGTTGACACCAGGAATGCCTTTTACGGCATAGAAGGCGGTGTTAAGTCCTGAGGACGTCTGCTGAAACGATATCTTAGCAATAAAGAGCATTTAAAACCTATTAACATTAGTAAACAAAGACCAAAATCTGTTATCCTTAATTGACTTTTCTTGCCCTTTAAAGAATGGAAAGAGAGAAATGGTTAATGTAATGCTGCTTGTTTCTTTTAAAGGAAAATTGTAAAATAGGTTCATTTTCTTTGAGGAGAAAGATGAATCTGTCTGCACAGGACTGAGAAGTGTTGCATAACTTTCTCATGATACTGCTTACCCATGCTAACTGAGCTGTGCTCTAATGAAAAGCTCATGAAAGAAATAATGGGTAAAGTTGTCCATGCAAGGAGAAAAGATCATAAAGTAACCAGAAAAAATATTCTGCTAAATCTGCTGGTTGCAGGTTTGTTTGACCAAGAGTCATTTAATGTGTTTGATCTCTAAAATAATGAATCTTCCCTTTGTTTAGACTTCAGCACCTACTACCTGTTTAAACAGGACTGTTAGAACAGTTTATCATAGATCCTGTCTCGATAGTTTTATATAAGAGAACGTGCACATATTTTGGTACAGAAGACGGAGAAAGCATAAACAGAGCTCGCCAATAAGATATTTAGGCTTCTTTTCCATTTTTCAGGCTTTAGGAACGTTCTAAAATAAGTGTAGGAAAATCTGCTATTATCGCCACACACAATGTAATTGTTAAACATGAGTTTAACTTAGATTTGTTCTTTTTTATTTTATTTTATTCCGGAAGTTAATTGTTGCATTTTCTTGAGTCTAAGCAGTTTGACCCGTTCTCTACAGGTTATCTCATCATGACGGACGACTGGTTCTCGGAGTATGTCTACGAAGTGGTCGTGGACAAGAGGTTCCTCCCTCCTGATGTGCTGGAAGTGATGCAACAGGAGGCTGTTGTACTTCCTGCGTGGGACCCAATGGGATCATTAGCATAAATCCAGAAATCCAGGTTTTAGCCCCAGCCCTCGGTCTGATTGACTCCGCCCTTTCCTCAGCCGCTTTGACCTCCAGTATTTCCCTCACAGCCACCCCCCTCCAAAAGAGCTTGATCTTATAGGAAAAATAAAAAGTTTTCTTTTTTACTCGACTACCAGTGTCTTTTATCTGCATCGCAAGTAAATTAACATACATTAACGTACATGAAGCCTGTACTGTTTGTTTTTCATCTTGGTGAATTGAGCTAGTGTTCTATGCTCTGTATAGCAAACATCAGGAATGTTATGGCACTAGATTTAAGCCATTAAATGACCAACTTCTTCCTATGGTGTAGGCCAATGAGGTGTGGATGTTTCCATGTTACATGTGGTTCATTCATTACAATCAGGAATTCAGATTTGGCTTGCAATAGGAATTGGAGTGAGGGACACAGCAATCAAGCTGTTCTGGCTAAAAACTGAAGCATCTCTTACGGCTGTTGTTAACCTCACCGTGATGCACAGTGAAACATCCATGCATGTGCATAATAACAGTGGGGAAAGTAGAACCTCCAGTTAGCCAAGCATCCAGGTTTTGAACTGCCTAATTACCAGGGGGGGAACTCTTGCATGCAATGGGAAAACATACAAGCTCCACTCAGAAAAGTCCCAACCTGACTGTGAACCCAGGACGCATTAGTGGTGAGGCGGCTTCCCTGGTGCCTGTTCAAAACACTGGAGAGTTGAGAGCTTTTCACCAAGTGAAAAAAAATTGTTTTGAAGTTTTCTTCCTTTTTAACTGTAATTTAGCTACCTCTGTTAGAACATTTGACATAAAAAAAATTAAAGCAAGAAAATATTTTATCTACAAGTTGGATACTGTTGTGCATCAAGAGCCATTTGATTCTTTGTTTTCTCTCTGACAACTATGGCTTTGGCTAAAGGATGTTGGTAAACGCATAGCCTGAAAAGACATGTAAAATAATATAATTAATCAGATATATCATAATTATTTTAGGTATGTAGAAGAAAAGATGCACAAAGTAAAGGTTTTTGTGTGTGCATGCTCATTAAACAAGCTGTTCGCAACTTTAGTTTCTACACTTTTAGACAGATTTTCAGGTAAAGATGGAAAACCTGAAATTATTTCATAAATTTTGTTTTCACACCACAAAAGCCTGAAAAATTGACCAGAATACGTATGTACACTTTTAAGACCCACTAGTCAAATATGTTACTTTGACAGTAAATATGTATTTGCAATTTCTGAAACTAGTGTTTCATGGGGTTTTCTTTTGTGAGTGCAGCCCAAAGGGACCGGTGGTTGTTACATTTACAGGCGCAGGACGCAGGACAAAGCCCTGCTGTGAACTTACGAACCCTTGCAACCGGGCTTACGAGTTCCGACGTCAAAAATGAGTTTCAAAGTAGCAGCTATTTGTGTCTGACAAGAAGAATTAGCCCATCACTGAACCACACAGGACCGGTCACCACACAACAGGCCTCGTAGCTGCCTGCCAATTTCTCTTTTTCTCTGCTGCCTCGTCTTTGTTGTTGGTGTGTGTCTGCAGCGACGAGGATTAACCTGGTGAGTCGGCTGATGTTGATTGGAATGACGGTCAACACCCGAGCGCAGCTACAACACAAAGAGGGCATGTTGATTTAAGAGTCACCCTCACAGTTACTGCATTTATTGTTTCAGCCCCTAATGGTGTTCCCTCTAACCTCTTCTCTCTGCTTCCAATTCACACACAAAAAAATGAAGGCTTTGTTGATTCCACTGTACTACTGTACCTGGCAGGAAGCCACTTGGCTCTGTGGGTTGGAAATGGGTTACTTTGACCAGGGCACAGACTGTCTCAGAGTTCAAAAAGCTTTCTGCAGTTTACATCATATCTCACATTTTTCTGATTTAATTACCTCTGCTATGTTCATACTGATGTTTTCCCTACACCTTTTGTGTATATTTGTAAATATGTGTCAAGCCGTCCTGGATTAGGGGCAAGGATCTTGTTTTAAAGCTCTGTGTGGGAGTGTGTGTATGCACGAGAAAGCGCGCACGCATGCTTTAGAATGCGTGTTTGCGTCGTAAGCCCGACCGAGCAGAATACGGCCTGCTGTAAGCCCAGGCATGTGGGATTTGTGTGATTGGGTTTAGTCTACGCTGATAGGCAACGTCTTGGGCTCTGGATGACCAGACACTCCATGGACGACACAGACGGCCCTGCTAAAAATACCAAGGTAAGACCTCACAGTCATCCTGACTGGACTCATCAAAAGCAAATTCACAGTACCAGTTGTAAACTTGAAATTTGTTTGCAGGATCTGATGTGTTGTTTTTAAATTCTGTCTTCTTTTAAAACTAAATCTGAAATCACAACATGAAACTTATTTAAAATATTACATTTTATCTGGATGTTTTTTTATTATTTTTTTTTAGGTTACAGGGTTTAAAGGTTTAAAAACTGTCAAGTATTTGTATTTAGGTAATCTGAACGATTAGTGCGAGGTTACGTTTCACACTCTTATGATCCGGCTCTGCCTGAGGGGCTGCGGGTTCTTCATGTTCTGTTAAAAATGCAATTTCTGGGCATTAAGCTGTTCCTCTTCTGAGGAACTCCTGTCATAATTAACACAACGCCGGTCGTAACCTTTTAACCTCCCCTGGGCCTCTGCCGCTTTTCAAAGAGAAGTCTCTGTAGCTCAACGCTTGAGATTTTAACCTCAGGAATCTTGTGAGAATGGAAATGTCAACATGGGATCACCGGGGTGTTATGATCTTCTTAGGGCAGGAAAGGAATATGGCAGCAATTTGCAAGCAAATATTGTGTGTCATGCGAATGATGGGGTTAAGCTTTATGGTCACTCCAGCTCTTAACAGTCATATCGCTGCTCTAAGCTCTTAGTCTTTGCACCTTACAGAAAATTACATTTCAATGTTTGAAAACAAATACAACGTCACTTATCAGTTTTCAAAGCCACCACTTCATTTTTTTTGTCATATATTATGTTTTTTCTACTTTGTTCAACAAAAATAATCTCATCTACTTGTCACAGATAAATCAGCCAATTAGCTGCTTCATCAGTACACACCTGGTAAGACATTGGGTCTTATTAAATATGAGGCAAAATGAATAAAGAGAACTCATTCTGTCATAAAATTTATAACTGGAATATACAATATTTGTGAGTAACTACAGATTCACAAGGATTAAACATCTTCATGTTCCCAGTTTTAATAACTTTAAATGCAGCGACTTAAAAAGTTAGTGTCTGATTACTAGTTTCTGGCTGTAACAACCTAATCTGTCCACTGACTCTTGATCATTCCACTTTAGGTACAAAGATAGTTACTTCAGTTTTGTTTCTGTTCAGGTGGAGAAGATTATAGCACATCCATGCGTAGATTTTTTTTTTCTCTCAGCGTCTGTTCAGTGCTGCGTATCAGCTTTATTATTTGGGTATATTATTGGGTCATTAGCCCCACCCTACAGCCCGACTCTGACTTGTTCCGCTTGTGCTCTGGTGAGCACAGAAACCTGACTGAAAGTCATTAAATCTGCATGTAATAACTTGAGATTTACAACTTTAATAGTTCTGATTTGCTCAGATGACCATTCTGCTGTTCTTTGGCATATTTTTTTTTAAATCCTTGATTTCTTTGTTTTGACTAGAAGGTGAATCCGAGGACACAAAACAAAATCTCATCACTGAAATTGCTCTCTGGATGCATAATTTCATTGTGCTTGATGCATATTTTTTCTGATTATTTTTCTGTATCATCTCTGAGCCTCTAAATTACTCCTGGTAGCTTTATTCAATGATTTCAATTTCAATCTGACATTGAAGCTCAAACACTGAAGAGGTCAGAGGGACAAATTAATCCATGTCTTACAAGAATGTTTTTGGAAGCTGTGCAAGAATTGATAATGAAAAGGAGAAAGATTTCAGACAATTTTCTTATAATAAAGGCCAAAGGCCATAATGTGCTTTTCCCATGTTACCTAACTTCTCGTGCAACTACACCGTCAAGAGAATGAATCTCTGCTTCAGGGCAGGATGCTGTGAACTCCGGTTGCCACCGAAAATGTGTTTTCACATCTGCTTATCAGGCCTTTTCAATACAGAATGCACAAAAAAAGCTGTTTTTCTTTTCCGCTGGGAGTAGTTTCCTCATAAAGTACTACAAGTTCCTTTGGCTTGTTAAGCGATGTTTGTGCAGATGTGGTGGCAGCGCTGCCTTTCAGACTCAACCATAGTTTTCTGCTCTCATCCCATCGTTAGTTGTTTATTTTACAATTGGCCCTAGCTTGGAATTGTATGATGTCAAGAAGGCACAGGATGTTATAGAAGAAAACAAGGATTTTGATTATTAGGGTTCAGAAGATGTTTTGTCTTTCATGATTTTTGTGCACTCAACATGCGCACGTGTGTGTGTGTGTGTGTGTGTGTGTGTGTGTGTGTGTGTGTGTGTGTGTGTGTGCGTGTTTGTGTACTGAAATATTTTGCATTTTAGCAGCTTTGCCACACATAAACAGAGCTCCTCAGACATAAATTTTTCTGGTAGACGTTCAACATTGATAATCAAATCTGACAGGTTGATTTAATGACACATATTAGTTTATCACTCCTTCATAAAGGCAGAAATGTCAGCTGGATGCAATGCAGAAAAGGTTCGAGTTTCAAAAGCTTTGAACTTTCTTCATCTTTTACTCAAATGGTCAAAGCTTCAGGTAAAAATGTTGAAAAATCAAAATCCCAGAGCTACACCTATTGCATGGCCTGTTTTTAATACTTTGTTCAGACCCCATATAGAAAAGTAATTCCATATTAGGTTTGTTTGATCACCCATCCAGAGTTCCTGGTTTCTTTGATGTTGTCTTTTTTACAGGATTTAATCTGAGATGACCACAAGAAAAAGGTTCATTTTGTGTAGAAGAACTGAGTTCTTTCTGGTTTTCGAGCGCAGACTAGCAGATTTTGAGCAAAAAATGCTCTGGTATTTCAAATAACTAATGAAGCCATTTCCAGGAAAAACAAACCCACAGCATTGTATATCCTCCACTTTTCTTCTTGGTGGGTAACAGGTGCTTTTACATATGCTTGTGCTATGTTTTATTACAACTTAGTCTTTGTTGCACTCTTAGTCTCATTAGATGTTAGATAGAAGACA